AATATTTTTCCGCTTTTAAGTCTGTGCATAAAATGAGCAAATGATAAATTAGTAATATATATTATTCAAGATTATTCATCTTCAAAAGCAAACAAATATCACAACGCACTCATATACATTTTATAGTTCTGATGTCATTTTTTGTAGCAATAGCTCGCCATCAGAAATGATCTTATTTTTTCTTTGAATAACAAATGAAATTACAATTGACAAACACAACACGAAGAATTTACTTCGATTTGAATTAATTTTTTGACATTTTCAAAATTCAATAACAATATCCAATTCAATGGGTTTAAAGTAGCATAATAAATAATATGGTTTTATACATGCTCATTTCACTGGCGAATTATCCAGCTACAAATTAAAAACCCAAAAAAAAAAAAAAAAAAAAAAAAAAAAAAAACAAAAAAAAAAAGATTATCGAGCAATTTTGCATGACAAACACGAATGTGCGATAATTGCTTTAAAATGCAAAACAGAAGGCTGAAGCTCAACGGTTCAGATCACACGATCCGCACATTTGTTCCCACATTCTAGCTGAATGGAGGGTTGGGCCTGTTTATATATGTATATATGTAAATAAGTGTGCGTGTGTGTCACTGCGTCTGATTATGACATTTAACATGAACACGTAGCAGCAGCAGCGCAAAATATACATATATAAATATAAATTAAGTAAGAACTAGCCCGTAAATGGATATTTTTAATAAAATTATTAACAATTATTCCTTGTGTGATGTGCAATTTGAAAGCTTTTCACAATACCAAATAGCGTATACGCCTCGTCTGTCTAATTGCAAGCCCAAATGACGGACATGGTCGACGCCCACGGGCCTGCTTAGTTCGAGTACGACTAAAACTAATTAAGCTAATTGAATGCGCAACAACTTGAAGTTGATGACATCACGTTGGAGTTGTAACTTACCGCCTTCAATGGACTTCTTCATGCAGCCGGTGGCGTTGCGATTGAAGGGGCCAATCTGCAGGAAACGGGGCGGGGCAATGCGCGAACAGTCCAAGAGCAGATTGGCATCCGCCTCGAACTTCTCACCACACTTGGGAGATGTCACAGATTCGCACTGATAGCACTTGATGGCATAGCCTGTAAATGGAATCTGAAGCAATGTTGCTATACTTTCAGCACCAACTGTTGCATACCCGTGCAGGCAAGGGCGGCCAGGATGGCCAAAGCCAAGACATGACCCACTTTCGAAACCATTCTGAAACACTGGATGGGGTTGTTGATGCGAGCACAAAGTAACCGCTGTAAGTTTTATAGATCTGAACGGCACGGCGACTGGATGGCGTCTGGTGGTTTCTAGCTTGTTTTCTAACTTAGCCAAGCGAACGCGCCTTCGCTTTGCGCTCAAATTGAAAACAAAACAAAAAACTCACTCACATTTTGAGTGGATTTTGTGTGTGTGTGTGTGTGTGTATTTTTTGCACTTTTGAATTGAATTTTGACTTTAGAATTTTTACGCTGACACACAAACATTTAGACAAATGACCGCAATTTTGTTTTTATATGCACAATATAGTTATGTATATACAGCTATATACATACACGTATAAGTGTATTACGAATCGGAGAACTTGTTTCGGGTGATGTCAGACAAATGTTGTCTTTTTTATTTACTTTTCTCTTTTGACTCGATTCACGTGTAAACACAAACAAACACATATACACACATTGTCATTGTTATTTTTATGTTTTTGATAGTAGTATATGGAATTATATAAGTCTGATTTATATCATGTTGCATCTGCATCAGTATGCGGCATCTAATTTGTATGCGATCCATTCAGCATTCAGCATTTCATGCTCGTAGTACAAACGGGTTTAGTTTTCTATTTTGAGTGCTTACGGGGCATTATCACTTAGTTGAGGACTGGAGCATCATCTAAGTCATTTAATTTTAGAGTGAGTTAACTTGAATTATAATTAAATTCTTAATCAGTTTTCGTGCTAATTCTATAACTATGCATCTGCCTTTAGCTGCCGATTGAATTTTATTCAGTTAACTGAATTTATAGATAAGTTTTATATTTAAATTAAATTATACTGAAATTAAGAAGAGTTTTTGCGGACTATATCTGACGATTCAAAAGACAACTTTCCAAGTCAAAATAAATATTATATCATGTGATGTAAATTTTGTATTATTTCTTTTCAGAGTATTTTATCTTCGACTCATCGTATTCATTTTTTGTTTACCTATTCATTTCTGATGCGTAATAAACTGGAGAAAATTACTCAGTAAACAACTCTGAAGCAAAATAAATCTAATTAATTAGTTTTTAATTTGCAAGCATAGCTTTAATTGTAATTGCCATTGCCATGATAATAACAATTATGTGATGCATTAACAATGTAATAAAACTAAGAAAAATGTGTCTTTAGATTAAGTACTATATAGAGTATGTAGTGTACATAATATTGTTAATCCTACAGACTTGATTTGTTTGTTAAGTCTTACATATACATATAAAATACATAATAATGCTGAAAGAAATTTAGTTAATTGAGCTGCAAGTGAAAATATAATGATCCTGTTGGGTTCAAACTGTATTATATTTGTCAAGTAAAACTTTTAATAATAAATATATTTCTATTTGTATTATGATTAATAAATATATTCATTTTTACTACTTCTTTCCTAATTACCTAATTAGTATTATTTTGCGTAATTGCATTCGAATGGAAAATGTATATATTTTACTTAGAGCCCACAGAATTGGTTTAAGTGGTTTTTCCCATGCATCCGTTCAATTTCCATTTCAGCACTTATATGATTTTCCATGCTGCTCAATTGGTTAATTTTTTCAAATTATTCCAAATGAGTTTGGGTTAATTGAGAGGCAGCTCGCTGCAGCTGCTGCAGTTCGAGTAGGAAGTTCCCCTTCTCCATTCCCCACCCCCATCGACGCACACTAGTTTCATATGCAGTTTTTTGACCTCTTCGATGCGTTGCGCATTGTTAAATGAGTTAAATGTGAGCTTAACACTTTGTAAACTCGACTTCGACTTGGCAGCCACGCTCAAATTTAACTCAATTAAACATAATTAATAATGCAGACACACACGCTCACGTACACACATTAACATACCCATACACACCCGCACACACCGTATATAAAGACACAACCTCAGATGAGGGCATTTTGTTGGGCAGTTCATTGCATTGCTTGACCTTTTTGCTCAGTTTAATTGTTAAATTTCTGGGCTCTGAGCCTCTTATAAACATTTTTGATTATGGCTAATTAGAGCTTCCAGGTGTTGGGCTTGGGCGGGGCTGAGCCGTTTGTTTGTTTGTTTTTTTTTTTTTTTTTTTTTTTTTTTTTTTTTGGACATGCAATTTTAGATGAGTCACAGAATTTACGAGGCCTACGCTGGCTACTTGACACGCCGTGAAATCCATTCCGTAAATGCGTTACATTCACGAAACACATAAAAAGCTTTGGCACGGACTTTGTAAGTCGTAATGGATACAGTCATATATACTAGATGCTAGCATGAGAGAGTGTATTTATAATTATCATGTCTGAAGTGAATGCCAGGTCCTGGTGATATGAGATGACTACTTCCTATATGTACATGTATATAGAAATTATGAATATAAAAACAACAAGAGACGAGTAAGATATAAAGAGGACAGAGATGATAACTACAAGAGAAACAGACTGATAGAGAGAGCGAGAGTAAAAGTTGTATGTAATAAATAATATAATATAGACAGAATATTTAAAATAAAATGGGAAGTATATTCCAAAATTATTCCTTTGATCTAGTATATAATATATACTATTTATATGCTACTCAGCACATACCACACATATAAGAGACCTTGCTCTGCACATCGAAATTAATTAAAATTCATTAGGGAGGCCTAAAATTATATAGCCACTATACGTATATACCATATAAGCAAAAAAATAGAAACAACTCAGAAAATAATAAACATAATGTGTAGGCTTATTATAAATATGTCTCTTATGACAACAAAACTACAATTTTAAGCATATAATTTATCAATTTAATAATTACTTATATAAAATTTATTTATCATGACACTCTTTCTTAATCATTAAAGAGCTGTTGAAGTATATAACTTGATTAATGCCCTGCAGCATTTATGGTTTATTGTTGATAAATGTCTCTGGAAATGATGTTGCAAATAAAAGGTCCCATGATTGTTTTTTGTAACTGGTCCATAGTTTATTAAATTGCAATTGCATATGGAATAAGCACAAATTTAAACGAGAATATGTCACAACTATGAGGCAAATCAAAATGACAACTGATGCAGAAGAAGTACTTAAATACGAGCAGGAGCTAAAAACTATAGCCAAACACTAGAGATCAATCTAGGCCAGCAGACGAGCCGCGGCAAAGAACAGCACGATGGCACCTGCAACGGGGACGATGGAGGAGGAGCCGTTGCATTCATCCTTGGTGCACACATCACAGCCGATTTGCTTGACGAAGGGCAGAGAGGGATCCGACTGGCAGCCGCTCTGAATGTTGCTGACATCTCCAAAGTAGCAGCTGCGCACGATCTGCGGATGTCCCACAACTAAATTGACAATAAAGGTGAGAATTATAGTTAGTAAACAAAGAAAAAAAAAAATACTTTCACGCTTTGCTTAAAAAATAAATAGCTTGTAAATTATATGCAAACCCACAAATGAGTTCATTGTTCGGCAGCTGCGGCTAACAATGCGAGTCGTTTGAAAAATAATACAATAATTTTCTATGCTGCCTGACGCATTGTTCAAGTCAACGGCAACAACTTGAGTCAACAAGATTTGTAATTAACTTACGAGTTGGGATCATTTTCACGGTTGAATGCGACTTGCGATGGGCGATTTGCTTTGATGAGCTCAGCAGAGCTGCTTAAATTCGCTTTAATTGATTAGTAAGCAATTATAAAGCGATATATATCTATGTATACCTAAGAACAATATTGACTTCGAGCTATTCACAGCTCTGAAAAAACAAACAAAAATGTTGCTGTGGGGTGCCGCCGACTAGATAATATTCGTTTACAGCAGCTAAATCATATTTGCTAATATATATACGATAAAAGTATATAAGTCAATACAGCCATCAAAATGAATATTGCCCATAACAAATATACTCTTTTCACTGCGTCAATGAGTATAACTATCACAACGAAATTCCTATTTTTATTATTTTGACACACATTTTAAATGGCAGCATTAAAATATCTGGCTTTTTAATAATAATAAAATGCGAATAATTAATTTTAATTATAAGAGAAATAGAAGAAGAACAATATTTGAAATGCTTTGCTATAAAAATTCAACGACGTGAATTTTCAATTATTAAAATATGTTAAAAAAGTAACAAATTTAAAAGAAATTTGTTTCCCCCATTTGATGATCGCATAAATCTTTTGCCATTTGCTGGCAACATTAACTTGAAAGAGATATTAAAATATGCTAAGAGCTAAATTTTTCGCTCCCCGCCCGAAAAAGTGGAATCACGTCATAATTATTTCAATACGCTTCTCACAGTAATCTCAAAATTATACGAAATTACACGAAAACCAAAAGCACAACAATGTCGTGATACCCGCTCAAGAATCCAGCAACTGCGCAAAACACACAAACAGTCTGAACATAACACGATACGAATAACAAAGAAACAAAACAAAAATCAAGTACAGTAAAATGACATCATAAGCGACGCGTCGCTTCATAATGCGAATTTCTATGCTCGCATGAGAGCCGCCACTAATGGATGCCGCAGACTGGCAATGCGAGAGTTTGATATGAGATTATCTATGATTATCTATGAGAGATTGGTGGGACTTACCGCTCTCGAGCGTCTTCTTGATGCAGCCAGTGGCATTCTGGAGTGGGAAGAAGGATTGCAGACTGCGCGGTGGCCCAATCTTGGCGCAATCAATCAACAAAGTCTCATCCTCCTCGAACTTCAGGCCGCATTTCGGCGTGGTAAGCGACTCGCATTGGTAGCACTTAATGGCATAGGCTGCAAGTTGACAACAGAGTTTGGATTAGTTCAGACAGGTGGTTTTGCTGGGTCAGTCGAAAATACGCACCCGAACAGGCCAGACTAATCATAATGGCCACGGCCAAACTGCATTTGAGGGCAGACACCATTTTTCCAAAATGTTTATATATTTAATATTATCTTGCTGCAACGTTCGCTGGATCCGCTCTCAACCTCTGCTGACAATGTCTGCTGCACGTCTGACAAGTTCACAATTCTGCTGCCCCGTTCAGACGTCCGACCGGCCAGCCACTCTCGTCTATCCAACATCCCCCATACTCATTTCACTCGGTTCTCTGTGCGCAACGGCGACTGCGCCGCTCACTCCAAGCACGGTTTGAGTGAAACCAGTTGAGAGTGTTGGAAAAGTTTTGTGTGTTTTGAGTATTTGTTCAACCGGTTTTCGGGCATTTGTTTAGGTTTTTCAAATCAGTTTGTTTTTTTTTTTTCCCTATTATCTAAATATGAAGTATAATAATATATATATAAGTATGATATTATTAAGTATTTTTGAGCGTAACGGCGACTGCGCTGCTTACTTTGAGTTTTGTTTTGAGTGGAAATTTATGTAGGGTGTGGCTCAGGTAAGCAATTGTTGTGAAAACTAAAAAACGGTTGTTTATATTAATTGGTCAACCGGTTTTTCAGCACTTGCCTAACTTTTTTGTGTGCTTTGAATTCACATTGAAGCAGTCACGTTTTAAGTGTGTTTTATAGGCATTGTGGGAAAACTATAAGAAAAAATTAATAAATATTTGAGTAACCAAAGGTTTGAAAATGAAAATAATATTAGTTTTTATAAATGAAAAACTAACTCAATAATAATATATCATAATCTCTTATTATAGTATAATACTATGTAAATATACTTTTACAATTAAGAACATCTTGTCTTGCAATTTCATTCTCTGTTAATAATGCAGCTATTAATATGCAGGTTTGCGCTTTGAGATTTGTAAGTAATGCTTCATAGAAAATGGCTAGATCATATAAATGGCCTGCCAGATTTTTATTATCATTTTTTCCATCGTCATCAGCTGCTATAAAAAAAAACAAGTTACTTAAATTGTTGACTCATTAGCAGACATCTGACAAAATTGTTTTGTTATACATAGTAAAATATCGTTTTAAAGATACAATAAGTAAACTTATCGTTGACACAACTTTTTTTGTTTGTATATAAAAAAAAAAAAAAAAAAAAAAAAAAACTTATCGTTGACACAAATTGAGTGAAAAACTTGCTGTTGAAACTATTTTTGAGTGTCTCCTAAAGGTATGCAACATTTTTCAAAACAAGTTCTCTCACACCAGATAGTTTTATCACTTCAATATAAAATCCCGATAAATCAGCCTTAGTGTTATTTGAGCTAAGCAGCAGGATAAATGACAAAGGCACAGTGGGTAGCAATCACCCTCTAGCTAAGACGCTGCCCAAATCAAACTAACGAAGGCACACAGAATAATGGAGAAATGAGGTCAGCAGAGAACTCATAGAATATTCACTTAAATCCCAAATTGGATTAGCCCAGGACTTAGTGGTTCTCGCTTATCGTATACCAAATGATTCAGGCTTCGTATTTCGCGTGCTTAAGAAACTACTACCGGCTTACACTCCGATGTAAATACTTTGTGTATATATTTGTTATTTAAATTTCCTACCACAGAGACGTTCTATATTCGGTTCGTTTCATATATCTTTTAACCCTCAGCACATGATAAAGTTTAATAGAGTAGTTGTCATTTGCATAAATTTCGTTAGATTCTGTAAAATGTTAATTATTTGTAGGACGATGACAGGCAAAGATTGGAAGGGAACAGGCAATGGGGAGGAATGTTTATGAAATGGGATCGCAGAGAATTATTTGCCAACTAATTGGATTGCCAGTGGCTGATTGAAATTAGGTGAACTTTAGTATAATCTGAAATGGTCTCTTCAATTTCTCAATCGAATTAAAATACCCTATACTAATAGATATACATATATACCCTCCATTAGTTCCCCTTCCGCTTAAATAACATAAGTTCCAACAACTGTCAGATAGATAAGGAATTTATTCGGTGTCAGATTTATAGTTTATACAATTGTGATAAATACATTGAAGAATGTATACGGTGTTTTGAGTTGTACATTTCAACATTAATTTACTATCAATATCATTAWTATTATTATTATTGTTATTGTGGTACTTTATCGTTTATAGAGCGTGGCTTGCTGTTGTTGAAGTTAATATTCGATTGTTAAGCTAAGCTATTTGGCTAATTTATTTATCGGAGTGTTGTTTGGGTTAAAAACGACTGAAGCAAATCATGAAATGCACCCTAAAGTAATTCACTAAACGAATCAAATAATTATAGATTAAAACCTAACATAAAATGGGGACTACAAGGGACTACGAAAGTATAATACGCCTATAACTAAACTAAGTAAAATTTTAATGTTAATCAGCGAATGGCTCAGCTGTGGGGCTAGCTAAATAAAATATCACGTTTTAACTAAAAATAGAGATACGACCGAGGGACATGGCCATCTTAGTTGGCCAACTGGTTGGCCAGTGCCATGGCCGGCAACAAAATGGCCGCAAAGATGGCTGCGAGGCCAGCGGCGCCATTGCAGCGATCAGTCAGGCAATCCTCGCAGAATATTCGCCGCACATTCTTCTCCGGGGTCGTCACATTGCACAGCTCCACGGGATCCGATTTGTTGGTGTAGTAGCAAAAGCGTTTGGTTACGATTTTGCCATCGTCTAAAATGATCGATAGGGTCAATTAGTGAGGGTATATGAAGTCGGTCTTTTTCACTTACACTCCTCAACGGTTTTGCGGCAAACGGCACGCTCGTGATCGGAGTTGATGGAGCTGTTGCAGCTGCGCAACAGATTTATATTGCGCTCCTTGATCAGTTCCGTGGGTATGTTATCCTCCTGGAATGTCACATCGCAAAAGTCCTCCGAGCCAATGGTGCTCGAGCTGCAGTGCCAGCACTGCAAATGCTGATGTTCGTGTGCTGCAAAGACGAGCAAGTCAAATCATTCGATTAGTTCATGTTGCTGCACGACCTTTACGGTCTGACCCCAATTCGCAATGGGTCGCAAAAGCTATCCTCCACATAAAAACTGAACAATGTGTGTATCCAGAAACTGTAGCCGTTGACATCATCACGCTCTCTCATTGCCAAAAACAAACCCAACTGACTTTATGGGCGGCTCAGCAGGCTCCACACCCCCACAAATCTGGTCCTACCCCCGAATGCCGAAATCCATTCAGCAGCCACAGCAGACAGTGCATTGTGCGGAGCGAGTCACAGTGGCGCCGTTCATTGAATTTTTATTACATGGACGCCACGAAGTCGCAGACGAAAGTGAGTGAAATTTATGACATGACCAAGCAAACCAAGATTCTTTATGAGATTCCTTGGCGTCCAGGCAGCACTAAAAACTGTTGAATCGCAAAATTTGCGAGCTAAAACAAAGACGTGTTTCAATTTTAAACTATTATATAATATACATAATGAGTTGGGTCTGAGCGAAACTATGACCTTCTAAAACACAAGATTTATATAAATTTGCGCGCTAATAGTATATTAATCTATAAATGCTTTCAATCGAAGCCCACAAGTATTTTGGAACAAATTGTTTGTGTTGATTAAGTTAATTGAATTTACGCATTATAAAATGATCATGGAGTACCTTATCAATCAGCGAATGAAATCCATTTGAAGAATTATAGCTGAATAAAAATATACCTCTCAAAATATTTTAAAACTATATTATATTATTTTTAAATACATTTTATATTAAGAAAT